GGGTGCAGCAGGGGGTAATGTATATACGCGTTAGGCGTGGCACAGAACGCAGCTTTCGAACGAAAAGGAGGCTCCACATTTGACACAAGATGAAGGACACGTACGCGCACGCATGGGCAGGGGCTGGGGCAGGGGCAGGGGCAGGGGTTGCAAGTGGAAGTGGAAGTGGATTGGAAGCCTATGTACAGCTCCGCTGCTGTCGCTGCTGTCGGAGCTTCTGCTGCTGCCTCTGGATCTGAATTGAACAAAGAACAAGTTGACGGAAACCACGAAACTAAATTGCCGCCCCCCCCACAATCCATGGGGCTGGCGGCTGTAGTGGCAGAAAGGAAGGAAGCAAGCAAGGAGCTGCCTGCTGACCAGTCAACGTGCGAGGACATGCGAGGATGTGCGAGGCTAAAAGATAGCGCACTTTTCTGCGCAGCCAGCGACTCCTTCGGGTTGCAGATGGGAGCAGCAGCAGCAGCATCACCAGCCTTGATGCATTACGCGTGGCACCCCCCTCTCAGGATGGCCACCCACCCACACATATGTGGTAGTACGTACATGCAGGACATTTGATGGAGGGCGTTGTCTAATTAGAGATTTTGATGGGAAAGAAAGTAAAGGATTGCTGCAGCAAAGCAAAGAAAAGCACAGCAAGAAAGGATTTCCTGCTGTTTCGAGTTATTGAAATTGATTTGGCTTTGCATAAATTTCATTCAATCGCCGCTGCAGTTTCCCCTCTCTCACTGTCTCTCTCTCTCACTCTCTCTTCCCTTAAGTAATTACAATATATCTTTGCACCTGCAACTGGAGGATTGTCCCTTCTCCATACCTCCTCTCGCTCTCTACCTAGCCAGAGGAATTCCTCTTTTCTGCTCCCATTTTCTGCCCCTTCTTCTAATCTTTCTTTTTCTTTTATTGTATTTCCCTTTTTCTACTATTTTTTGCTACTTTTTCTGCCACTTTTGCTTGACGTTTCTTTTTTGCATAAATAACTCTAAGTAAATTTAAGCACATAAAAAAGTGTGCAATGGGTTGTGGGTTGGGGGTTGGCTGGTTATATACGATTGCATACTATATAAATTGCAAGCTTTAGTTTTTTCCCCACTCCTTCTACATTCTCCTCCAATCTTCAATCCCCAATCCCCATGCTTTTGCTATTTTCCTCCATTTTCCAATTGTTTTAGTTAGTTATTCGTCACGTCGATTGGCTCTTTCGGATATCCGTCACACTCCTCCGCTCCCTCTTCTGTTTTGCACTCCCCCTTCTTCTGTACCCCCCCCCCCCCACACCTTTCTTTCACCCACTTTTTCCCCTTCTTCTGTTATTTCTGATCCCACCATTGTGCTACCATTTTCACCCCTTTCTGATGCATCTTCACTACCCCTATTCTTCTCTTCCTTTTTCCCAGCCTTTCCACAGCTGAAAGTTTTCTCTTTTCCATTGTAGTTTCTACTCTTCTAATCCTTCATATATTTCTTCTACATTTCCTTTGCATTTTTCTTGGATTTTCTTTCATATTTCATATTTGAATCCAGTGAAATATGCGGCAACGCAGCAGACTCCTGCCTCGGGAAAATAACTTAATAAAGGTCGCTCCTGCAACCAGTTTGCCACTCCACGATCATTACAAAGGCCTCCCCCTCCTCCAGCTCGACTCCTTTTGCCTCCTTTAACTTATTTTTGCAGAGTATTTTCTTGGCTGTAGGCTAGAGAGGGTCTGCATTTAATGCACTTCCCTACCTTTGCCCTGCTCCCCCCTCTCACTCACTCTCTCTCTCTGCTACTCTGTAATAATTCCTCTAAAATTAGCAGCGCCTTTGGGGGGCAAGCACTTTACATGACATCCATCCCCCCCTGCGCATGCTGCATGCCCCTCTTACCTTTCCTTGGGCTGCTTAAAAGTGCAATTAATGTAGGCTTTCAAAGGCGTCCACTCTTGCTTGGGCTCCTTGGGCTACCCAGGGGGTCAGGGGTCGCTCGAAAGTATCTGGCAAAAGTGCACCCAATTACGGCCCATGGCTTCCACATGTCAATCCGCATAGAAAATCCATTTGGCCTGCCGTTTGAGGAGCGCAGCAGCAGCTCTTTGCCGCATGCCAGCCATCGGCCAAAGGTGTGACAAATGTGAGGCGCCTTCAAGGAGTAGGAGTAGGAGGCGGCATGCCACACCTCACTGGGAGTCCTGCTGCTCGTAAAGCATTTCACGGAACGCTGAAGCTTTCAATGGAAATTTGTGCCCCTCGACAGAAAACAATTTTCTAGGCCTTTTTCCGTGTAGCATTTTTCTTTCGCCCAGCCAGTCAGTCAGCCAGCTCGCTTTTTTGCTGCAGCATAACTTACAACACGAGGAGCGGGCCATGGGGCATGCAGCTCAGACATTGATATAAAGCGCTTTGGCTGAAAGGGTAGGAGGAGGGGGGAGGTGGCGACGCCATGGTCCAGAGCATGCGTCGGAGTGGCACAAAGCAAGAAAAAAGAAAAAAACGAGAAGAGAGCGAATCTACAACTAAAAAATGTATATAAAAAGAAAATGCAAGGACAAGGCAAACATGGGAGGACCGACCAGCGACCAGCGACCACCAAAGGAGGAGATGCCCCATGCCTCAGTCTCAGCTTTAGCCTCAGCTTCAGCTTCAGCAATGGGGCAGCATGTGGGGTGGCATGGCGAGCCATTCGATTGGTGCTGCAGCAGCGCAGGCGAGTGAGTGGCCGGCCAGGAGCAGCAGCAGCAGCAGCACTAGCCTTGGGGCAGGAGACTAGTGCGTGTGTCTGTGGCAGCAAAGTGGGGGGGGAAAAAGCAGCGGTAGTGGAAAACGAAGAGGCAGTGGGCAGACACATGAGAATCTCTATGTGTTTTTTGTGTCACCCCATCCCCCCCTCATACATTTTTGTGGCAGCTGCTCTTTACTTTGGTGGCATCGTCGTCGTCGTCGTCGTCGTCGTCAGGCTTTTAGCGCAAAAGCTTTGTCGCATGCAAATTCATTTATTCCGAATGCCCATCATCCCTGCTGCCACACATCGGATCACATGGGGTTCAGAGACCTATACTCCATGCCCCCAGAACATGCCCCAGCACATGCAGAGCATGCCCCATAACTAGCCAACAATTAGAATCGACAAAACCAGGAGGAGGCACACAAAAAAAAAAAAAAAAACACGGCGGCAGCACTGCCGACGCTTAATAATAATATATTATAATAATTTTCGATGCTGAAAATATCTTATGATTGCATGGGGCAGCTACCTCAGAGCCTCCTGCAACATCTAACAGACAAAAAAAAAATAAAAGAAAAAACGATGCCAAAAGCAGCAGAAGCAGCAGAAGCAGCAGCAGCAGCAGGGGCAGGGGCAGTGACTGGTACAGTGGCAGCATCCATCGATCAAGCGCAGCGGCTCTCAGGCAAAAGTCTCAGCGCCAGTGGAACGCCCCTCATGCCACAGACTCTCGACTACTGTTTTAGAGGTGCAGCATGAGAGGAGGATCGCATCGCATCCCATCCCCCGTTGTAGGTTGGGACGCAAGGAGCATGCGGGCCGGGGGCAGCAGGGGGCACACCACGAAACCCCTTGTCAGACGGCTTCTGTTGTACGCAGTAATTTCGCTGGAAGACGACTCCTTCCACGATTCGACGATGCTGCCTTTGAGGCAGCAAACTGCTTATTACCATTAATTTTGAATTGTTTTTCGTGATCTTAACGATTGCCGCGATTTGCAGCTTAACAAAAAAACAAAAAAACAAAACAAAAAAAAAAACTAAAGGAGTGAAGAGAGAGCGAGAGGGAGAACAAAAGGCCAAGCAGAGAATAGAAAGTCACAAAAGCAGAGCCACGGAATGGAATACCCTTGAAAATCAAAGATATAAATCGACACAGCAAAAAGACTGACAAAAAGAAAAAAAAAATATTAAAGCAGAAAATCAAAGAAGAAATTCAAATTAAAGAAATCTGAAAACACAAAAGTAAAAAAGAAGAACTCAAAATAAAAGAAGGAATATAGTAATTATTGGGGGGAAAAAATTAATATTAATTAATATTAATAAATAAATTAAAATGAATGCCTAAAAAGAGGAATACCTCGGCATAGAATATCCATGAAATCTACTAACAAAATGGCAACAAATGGACATTAGTTGGAGTTGAAAAGAGTCACATTTATAGGTCTTTTGATGGCAAACACTTTCCTAATAAAAAGAGGAATAAAAGCCACATAATAATCTCAGAATGCAATACGCCTGAGAAAAAGAATGGTATATGGAAATACGTAAAGAAATCTGCACAAAAAAAAAAACTGCAAGAGAGAAGAAATCCCTAAGCAAAAAGTCTACAAAACAAGAGCTAAAAATCAAAGAAGGAATACACAAATTAGCGGGTAGAGAAGGTTAACACAGGAGGTCTCAAAATCGTAAAAACGAAACAGTTTTTTGTTTGCTCTAAAATGTGAAATCTTTGACGCTGTCAATGTCAATGTATTGAGCGCTTTTTTTTTACCTCCGCATAAAACACGTAAGATTTGGCAGAATGAGTGGATCCGTCATTCGGTTTGTCGGTTAGAGTATCCACACAAAAAACATAATAATATGAAAACTATACATACATATATTTGTGGTTGCTGCTGCGAGTGTGTGTGTGTGTGTACGAGACTTTGATTTCCTGCCACAAAACCAAGTTCGTGAGTGAGCCGTGAGTAGTGAACTGCCACTGTGCCCCACTGCTTTGCATGCAGCAGGAGATCTTAATAGACCATTATTATTGGTGGTGGAAGATGATCCTGCCTGCTACTACTATGTATCATATGATGCATCTCTTTCGATCGAATTACTATGTATTCTTTGGATAAAGCTACTATGTATGTAACTGTCTGTGTCTTTAGATGGATTATCAGATTATTGAGGCTGCAACTTTATAGACGGAAGCTGAGCGTAAGAGGAGGTCTCATTAAAAATAAGGCATACAATCAAACATTTAACGAATGGAAAAACAAGCAACAATTAAATGAAGGAAAAATACTTACCAGCACAGAACGAGATCCATGGAATTGCAGAAGAACGAAAGGAACGATTCATGGTTCACAGATTCACCGAACGAGATCCATCCATCCATCGATCGTTTGTTCTCATTATTCAAATCGCATATACGAGTATTTTCTCTCCTTTATAATTTGCCAGCCATTTGCATGTGTGGCAGCAGCAGCAGCACCCCTCTTTCTCCCTCTCTCGCTTTTGCTTCATGTGTCTGAATGTGTGATTGTGATTGTTAATGACTTCGTTTTGGGGCGCTGCTCTTTTTATGAGTTTTCTTTGGAATTATTTATGTATGCACTTTTTTGTTGTTTTGTCTTTGGTTGCATTGATTTCTGCATGCGTGTAATTACAGTAATGCTGCTCTCCCTCTACCTCTCTCTTTCGCTCTCCCTCTCTGAGGTAGCAACAAAAAAAGAATCAAATTAAGCGTTCGATTCGATTCGTTTCGTTTCGATTCTTTTGGGCTCTCAGACATTGTAGTGCAGAAATCATCGCCCATTGAGCAAGTTGAGGAGATCCGATCCACAGACGATACGATGATGTTTCCAATTACAGTGCACTCGCCAGTCTCTCCAGTCTCTCCAGTCTGCACTTTCAGCGATGTATACACTGCAAGAAATCAGAGCGGATACAATTTAATTTTGCGTGGAATGGAATGGAATGCATTATGAAATTATATAAATTATTATCAACATTCGCATATGGGGTGGGATACGCATACGCCGCGTATACGCCTATTTGAGCTATTGAATATTCATGCAGGCAACAACCAACCCCATCCCATCATCCCACCCATCCACTTATGCTGCTGCCCCACCCTCTTTGGGTGATGCTGCCTCTCTGCAATGTCGAGTATTTCGGCCAGAAATGCAGTTTGTTATATAACACACATAATTATAGGCAAATCGTGGCAACGAATTTTCGCCACGCACACATACATGCAACACACACTCACACACACACACCCAAACACCCACACATGCAACATATAGGAAGCGCGGCAGGCAGGCTGGCTGGCGGGCAGGCGGGCAGTGGGGGGGTCAGCACTTATGTGGCATTTGTGCTGCATTTTGGGTGCTGTGCTGAGGCGCAGAGCGCAATGGACACATAAAGAGTGGAATGGATGGGGGCACACACACACACAGAGTGAGAGAGAGGGCGGGGGAGTGGCAAGCGGCACATCTCTAAGTATTATACATGCACCCACACCCACTACCCCCCGCTCTCATCCTCTCTCTAACTAGATGCATACATACACATACATACAAACATATATGTGTAGGTGCATGGTGTATAGGTGCTTGCCGCATGCCCCGTATATTTGTATGTTTTCGGACTGACCATTATACATGATTTCCTAGCTCATCTCATCTGTGTGTGTGTGTGTGTGTGTGTGTGTGGGTGTATTGGTAGAATGTTTGTTGCATTTATGGGTACTACTCCTAGTAGTTGTTGTTGTTGTTGTTATCCTCCTGGAGGAGCAGCAGCAGCAGCAGCAGCAGCAGCAGCAGCCGAGAGTGGAGAGGGAGCTGTGCAGATCCCACTGCATCGCGCGCCAAACGAAAAAGGATTTTCAATTCAACGAAAAACGATTCGAAATTCATTATTTACACAGAGCGGCAGAAAATGGGCAGGAATATCTATCGATTGCAGCAACCAGGGGAGAGGGGAGAAATTAGGTAGAAATGCAAGAATAAGGGCCAATAAAAGACAGTAGCTTAGAAGGTGAAGGGGAGGGGATTACAAAAGCAGCCCTAAATGCACATATTCTCAAAACAACTCTTAAGATCTAACAAAATATAGCATTAAAAAAAAAAAAGTTTTTTCCAAACATTTTTATGGGTAAACAAAGATCTTAAGTTGCAAAGATTTTCTCAAGATCTGCCATACAAAATTTACTTCTCTGTAGGTGCAAGAATATTTTATTAGCATTTTTATGAATTTAAAGAATTGATAAATTCTTTTAACGTTTTCCCAACAATTTACCAGAGATATTTTACTCTTACTTTTATAATCGATAGATGTACATATAATATAAAATAAGACCTAAAATAGTGAAATATCGATTTAATTTAAACATTTATCTTCCTACACCTATTATTGTGTCCAGCCAAAATTGACCGATTTAGGGAAATATTTAAATTTCTTGTAAATTAAAGGGTTTGTGAAACTGTTTTTACTTTTTCTTTAAAGACAATTAATATAGGATTTGAAAAAACTTTGATTTGTTGAGATTAGAGAAGATATGAACTAGAAATTAAAAGTTGAAAAAGAAAAAAAAAGCACACCTATTATTTTGTCCGTAAGTGTATCTAGAGATTTTCAATAAGAAATGCCTAAGATATCATTTAAATGTCCCCTCGAAGGGCTCTAGCACAACCCTCCACAAACTTCTGGTAGAAAAACTCAACGAATCTTTTCAGGAGTTATCTATCTTTAATTTTTGCAATAATAAAATGTTCTTACATTTATGAGTAGAAAATGGACACAAGTCTTTAGCTAAGATTCTCTTGAAAAAAAGCCTGCAAATATCCAAAGATATTTTTAAAAGGAACTTTCGTTGTGGGCCTTTGTGTACGAGTATCTGCCTCTAGCGATCCACAGATATTATCTTAGAGGCGAACTTTCATGAGAATTGAAAACTGACAGAGATAGAAAGAGGTAGAGAGAGAGAGAGAGAGAGGAGAATTGACACTTGCATTGCCTAAAGACAGAGACAGAGCGAGGAGAAAGAGAGAGAGGGGAGCTATGGAGGGGGGAGTGTAGGGTGTTGGATATATTCCCGGGGATAATGGAAAAAGCGCACATTAAGTTTTCTGCCAATTTTGGCCAGAGTCGCATTGTTCTTGTTGTTGTTGTTGTTGTTTTAGGCCTCTGCTGCATGTTGCTGGTAGCAAAGAAAACGCAAAAGAGTTGGGTGCAACTCCCCCCACCCATCACTCGATGCCTGCCCCAAAGCCGCACACACACACACACACACCGCGGTGAGGCAGAGGCAGAGGCAAAGGCTGTGGCAGTGGCACACAGAGAGCGAGAGACGCATCAACAGTCGAGGCCCAAAGTTAGCGCGTCATCGATATGGCGACTGCAACTGCAACGGCAACGGCGACTGAAGCTGCAACCGATGGCAGCGGGGGGGCATGCGGGCACACACACACACACACACACACAAACAGGACTCTGGACTCCGTTAGTAGGGACTGGAAGAGAAATTGGATGCGTGTGCAAAATGCATTTTCTAACACAACGACGATGGCGATGGCGACGACGATGCAGCGCGAGATGCAAATGCAGGAGGCACACACACACAGACACACAGGCACAGGCACATACACCGACACTGACATAGAGGCAGAGTCAGACAGGATCCTGGATGGGGATGGGGGATGGGTGGACCTGGTTCCCTGGTTCCCTGGGTGCCAGGCAACGTTTTTGTGATTTATTTTTAATTGAAATTCTAGAATGCGTGCAAAATACGCATGCAAAGTGTCTGTGCGGAGAACGGAGAACTTTTTGGGGCAGCCCTCCACCCCCACCACCCACCACCATCCCCACCCCCAAGCCAGTTGCATGGTCCACTGCGTGCATATGTATTAGTATTAGTATTAGAGAAAGAGAGAGAGAGAGAGAGTAGACTGCTCCTGCTCCTGCCACTCCTCGCTCTGTTTTGGGTGGCAGGCAGAGGCAGGCCTGGCCTCGAGGCCTGCAGGCGCAAATTGCATATGCGTAAGCGTACGATGGTGGGCAGGGCAGAAGAGGGCAGGGCAGAGGATTGGGCCAACTCCAACTGCACCTAAAGAGGGGTCCTGGCTCTGGTTCTGGTTCTGGTCCTGGTTCTCCGCATGCAAGTCCCTGGCCAAAGTCAACCGTTGCTGTAGCTAGCAGCTCCCTCTCTTTCCCTCTTTCCCTCCTTCTCTCGCTCTGTGTGCGCGTCGAGTCCTGCAGAGTCCTGTGTGTGCGGTCGTCGTCAACGGGTCTCTGGTTTCAGATTCTGTTGCCGTTGCTGCTGCTGCTGCTGTTGTTGTTGTTGTTGCTGTTGTTGTTGTTGTTGCTGTTGTTGTAATGTTTTTGGGCAACGCCAAAAATTGTCTACAAAAACAAAAATTGGAATTAATTTTGTTTTAGAGAAAATTTCGCTTGTAGGCGCGACAAACGTTGCATGCACCCAGACTATATGTTTGGGGGGGAGGGTCTATGTGGCAGGTGGCAGGGTAGGCCACGTTGCAAGTGGGTGTTGGGGGGCACTGCTCTGCCAGCTGCATATTTGCTGATAATAATTAAGTGCAGGAAGGCGTATAAAGGCGGGCCCCGGACATCGGACCCCGCACCCCGCACCCCCAACCTGTGCCCGGATCTGCATCCACAGATGCAGTTCTGAGCGGTGGCTAGGGGCTAGGGGGGTAGGGGGTGGTGGATGGTGCAAGTGTAAAACGCAGCCAATGCCAATGCATTGCGGTATTGATAATTGGCCAAACGGGCAAACGACTTTTAATATCACTCTCATTGCGCGGGGGCCATAGAATTCGAAGGTAGGGTGGGGGGGGGGGTACTCCTCGGGTACTCCTATCGCTGTTAAACCGCTTCGAAATCTACATATTTTTGAATATAGAATATATTTATCTTGCGATAAAATTGTATCTTTTGGCTTACGAATGAGCAGAAATAAATAAATAAATTTGATCAAAGTAAAAATATCTTAAGAAAACGATGCATAAATATTTCTACAGACGAGCGAAAGTAACGAAAGATTCTGTAGATCAAAATGTGAAGTTTCCGCTGCAGATCTTGGGTCAATGAATAATAATTCTTACATATTTCTGATTGTCTACAGCTCTTTGACTTTCTGGCAACAGATTCCCGGCACGGTCTGGTGGGGGTTGAATGAACCCTGTCTCTTTGGGCTTTGAAAGCAACTGATTATCATTCTTCTCCTGGGTGCTGGCTGCTGGCTGCTGGGTCCTTTTTTTCGTCCTGCGCTCGTTCAACTTCCTTTGCCGTTTCAATCCGTAGGAAATTTCGTTTGGTTTTGCTTGGGCCGCTTCGTCATTTCCGGCATTGAGGTAACGAAATTTTATGCATGGTAACTGTTTTTGTTGCTGCTTCTCTTCTGCATCTGCTGATGCTGATGCTCCTCCTGCTGATGACACTGGGCAGTGGCTGTGGAGGGGCTTTGGGGCAACGTCGTCATCGTCATCGATAACTGTGTGGTGCCCTGCCCTGCCCGGCCCTGAAAAGTCCAGCGACTTTGACCAGATGAGGCGCCCTCGAGCGGAGGTGCCACCCTTTTTTGGATTCAGCTTAGGCCTTCGCCAGCACAGACACACACTCACACAGACACATACATATTTACAGAGGGTGTGG